TCATGGTTTTATAGTAAGTAAAAGCTTATGAACATCAGAAACTATATATCCCATGATTCATTTCAGTGCAAACAACATGATGAAATATGGTTTTTACTTGAATTTTTGAGATTATGATGGAAATAATTCACACCAAAATCTTGTCAGGGTATTTTAAAAGCAAAAAAGTATCCGATCTACAATTATATCAGCTTCTTCAAAATATCGCAATAAATATCGTAACGTGAGATGCATATCATGATAATATCGTACTGAGAGATTTGGATATCGTTACGTTCCTACTATTTTCTGATCTATGTTATAATTTTGTTTATAATTTTGAACAAATCTCGAGTTGTGTTTTGTTTCATTCACACAGGTTTATCACACAAAACATCCTGCATATTTCGGCTGAGTTCTTCTCTTAAACTGAAAACGCTTTGTTCCACCTTGTGATGTCATGCGGTAACAAAGGAAAGCGCTTGGCTGTGCTTTTAAACTTCATATATCTTCAGTAGAATCATTTGTTTCAGACTTGGAATAGTCAATCTCTAAAAGATAAAAGGTAGCTGATGACTTGGAAACTACCACTTCATGACATCACAAGGTGGAAAGGAGCATTTTTGAGCTTTGGAGATGAACAGACTAATAATAAAAGATTACTTAAACAAAAACACAACACAACTCCAGGTCTTTGGGTTCAGGTTTTTGACGAGGTAACACGATTCTAACATGTCTTAAAGCTCACAAGAGTCAATTTTGCGTAATTTAGAACCTTTAAAACATACAAATTATGTTAGAAATAGTATTCGAAAAGTCTTTAAGGAATTATTATCATTAAATAACAATGAAGTGAATGTGAAAAAGTCGATACAAGAAATATTAGGCTGGTTGGAGGAGACAGATTGACATGTCAAATGAGCTCTCTGTTATTGTACTGCACTGTAAAAAATATTTATGTAAGCCAACGTGATGTGAATTCAAATTATTTATTGTTTTGAGTATTTTTTAACTAGTTTTAATCACATTTTTGTACTTGTACTTACATCATAGTATTCAGTCATGTTTATTTATTTTTAACTAACAAATATGCAAATGAATTAGGACATTTTTACTCAAACAAAAAAACAAAAAACATACTCCATTGTCAGACACTTAAATTATCGATAACACTTTATTTTAGAGTACACTTATTAACATCTAATCCCCTCTAATTCCTCATAAGCTTATTCTGCTATTAATTAGACATTTACAAACACTTTCCTATTAATACACTCCTTATGACTGCTTATTACTATGATACTAAGTTATTTTTGTAAAGGAATTATGATTCTAATAAGCTTTTGGATATAAGCGTGTTGTTAAGGACGAGTAGCACAAGAAATGTAGTTTGTACTTATTTGCACTTAAAATTTTTAGTTTACTCTTCTGTAGTAAAACACTCTCTAGTCCAACTAACCATGAATTAATTAAGCAAAATTTATTAAAGCACAAACTACATTTCTTGTGCTACTCGTCCTTAACAACACACTTATTACCAAACGCTTATTAAAATCATAATTCATGAACAAAAATGGCTTAGTATCATAGTAATAAGCAGTAATAAGGAGTGTATTAATAGGAAAGTGTTTGTAAATGTCTAATTAATAGCAGAATAAGCTTATGAGGAATTAGACGCAATTAGATGTTAACATAAAATAAAAATAAAGTGTTACCGATATTTTAAGTGTCTGACAATGGCGTACGTTTTTTGTTTGTTTTTTGGAGGGTAAATTTTGTTGAGTAAAAATTTCCTAATTCATTTGCATATTTGTTAGTTAAAAATAAATATACATGACTGAACTACTATGATGAACCAAGTACAAAAATGGGTAACACTTTATAATAACTGCACCTTACTTAGCCTTAATAAAGCATGAACAAAGACTTAATTAATAATGAAAAAAGATTTAATTAATAATGATTCACTCTTAGTAAATGCTTAATAAAGCATAATTCATCTTCACTTTAGAAAAGCTCTCAAAAAGACTTAACTAACAGATAACAGCCGCCTGAATTATCATTGCATTACATTATTAGTAAATCATGCTCTCATAGCTTACTCCATGAGTAATTAAGTATGAAATAATTATGAGTAACTATTTACAGCACAGGCAAATTAAGTGCAAGTGCAAATTAAGGTAGTAATTAAGTAGCTACTAAGCATGAATCATTATTAATTAAGTCTTTGTTCATTCTTAATTAAAATCTTAAAATGTAATTCAAAACTAGTTAAAAATACGCAAAACAAAACTAATGTCTAACTAATAGCAGAAAAAGCTTATGAGGAATTAAATATTAATAAGGGCTGATTAAATGCTAATTAATGACAAATTAACCAACTACAACTATGCTTTAGCAGGGAGTTAGATGTTAATAAGTGTACCCTAAAATAAAGTGTTACCAAAATGATATGTCAGAAATTCTGTTCAAAAAGTCTTAAAATTTGTCCTGCTGACGAAATAAACACGAAGAAGTAAAATCGCTCAAAACAAGATTCTTAAGTTATGTCATTGGCAGTTTTTTTTTACAGTATAGTTTGGGTTTTCTGAGGTTAAAGGTGTTGGTGTAGCATTGCGTTTATGCGAAATGCAAAACAGAGGCTAACCTGACTGGGGAAACCTGATTGTAATGTTAATTTAGGCTTCGTGTCGTGATGGACTTTCCTCGTGTCTTGAAATAGTCTACGTGACAGCCAAAGTAAACAAACGCGAATGATTATAAATAGAATAACCCAAAATATCTGTAAAGGTTTTTTTTTTTTATTTATTTCTACCTTAGTTAATTTTAAACTAAAACTGGATTACATTTATATTTGATTTGAGCGTTGAGTGTTTAGACAAAACTCCGTCATCACTTTTGGGTTAAAATGGTTTGTATAGAGTTAAAAAGTCAAAGTCTGCAATATATTTCAATACAACAATACAAAACATTCTTAGTTTCTTCTTTAAACTTTTTAGCCCAAAAAATAGACTATAATATAAGCATGTCCACCTTCGTTTTCATTGCGTTTACTGCACTCAAAATCCTTAATCTGCATGGGCTTGCATCTCCACAAACTTGACATTTATTCAGTCTTTTCCGCTTGTTTCCATGGAAATTTGGTTCCTATGGCATAAAATGTATCTCTCTCCATGGGAAATGTTCCGAAGTGTGGCTTTAACTTGCTATTTTTACGGAATCGTGCAGGTAACGTACATTCCGACTCCACAAAGTTACCTACTATGCTTTTAAAAATGTTGCCAAAAATCTCTAACTGGTTCGGGTTTACCCCTCCTTTTCCCCGAATATTTGATAAATGATTTTATCTCTTCAACAAAACAACACCAAACAATACTTTCTATTCACTAGTACTTCCTTGACAACAAACAAATACCTAGTACCATGCACGTACTAATGAAAAATATACTTATTATTACTAAAGTTAAAGTTGCGTTGTGTAACTTTACCTTACATTTATTGCATTAATGGTGGTTTTACAGCTCAAAAGTAACTAAAACAGACATTCTGACTGTGAGCGGGGTCGCCTCTCCACAGATCTGACCTGTAACTTGGTATTGATTGATCTCCACGAAGACGGAACAAACAAGTTTAATGCCATACTGTGAAACATTCCAGATCCAAAGCAATAACATCACCACGGAGAAAAGCATTTGACGTACTTTGTACTTTTAAGACAATTTCGATTTCTTCCTTTTTCAATTTCAAACTCAAAATGATCGAATAAAAGACAATAACGTGAGTCGATTCTTGTTTAAATCACTTCTCTGTTTATCCTGGCTCCATTGTCTCGCTCACCTGCCAATCACCTGGACTCATTTAGATCTCCAAACAAGTTCATGTGTAAATACAGCTCTCACTAAGCACATAAACAAACATGCATGCAGAGGAATCCAGCTTTACCTGATAAGCAAAGATAAGATACTGCAACTACTACTACTACTACTTAGACTTTATATTGTAGTACTGTCTTTCTTATGTGTGTGTAATCCTTAGTGGTCCAGGTAGGTTCCATAGTGGTCCATGTGTGTCTATATGCTCTTATACTTGCTCAAGATCAAGATCGATACTGAAAGCTTCGTTTCAGTATCAATACCTGCTCAAACGATTCATATCTGATCTTACTTTTACTGATTTTTCCACAATACTAACTGGATGTTGGAGATGCAGTGACGGATTGTGTGGTGTGAACAGGTATGTTTTGAAAAGAAAAGTACTACAAGAAGTACTACAACAACTACACTGCAAAATGGAAAATTTAGCAAACTGAAAATGACTTAAATTAAGAAAAAGTGACTTTTACTTGAGTAAATTTGACTTGACAAAAACAATTTTTGTAAATTAATAAAAGAAAATACATCTTGTTAACACTTAAGATCAGAAAAACACCTATTTGCACTTCAAATTAAAAAAACTTAAAAAATGTAAGTTGCTAGAATTAAGAAAATCTTGTTAAGATAATTTTACCTGTATCTGATTTTCGATATTTTTGACAACCCTACTTCTACTACTACTGCTTTAAAACAGACAATACAGACTGGATGTTGAAGACAGAGTGACGGATCATGTGGTGTGAACAGGTTTGTTTTGAATCTGGATTTGAAAAGAAAAGTACTACATGAAGTACTACACTGCAAAATGTAAAATCCAGCTACGTTTTAACTTAATTTAATGACTTAAATCAAGAAAATGTTACTTTTATTTGAGTAAATTTGACTTGACAAGAACTTTGGTAAATTAAAAAAAGAAAATACATCTTGTTAACACTTCAGATCACAAAAAACACCTATTTGCACTTAAAATTTTAAAAAACTTTTAAGTTACTAGAATCTTGTAAAGTTAATTTTACTTGTCAGCTCAAATGTACTCAAAATGTTCTCAGTGAAAAGTAAAGTAGTAAAAGTGCTTTTGAACATACCTAGATATTACATTTTGCTTCTACTACTACTGCCACTACTACTACTACTTCAAATACTACTTACACTGTAGGTTATTGGAGCTTGAGCCAGTCCATGCGAAGTGATCCAAGCTGGAGAAGTAAGGAGTAGCCTTGGCCAACATACAAGACCCCTGTCCCGAAACATCAAAGAGAGGCCTGGGCAGACCGAGCGCCTCCATGCAGTCAAACATGGTCCACAAAAGTCTCAAAACCGGTTACGATCTGGGTCTGGGACTTGGTCTTGAGGTCTAGACACAACTGTAAGTGATCTGACTGCCCCCCTGGCCAGCAATGAGGGCCTCTCGCACTCAACTGGAGTCTCACACCAAAAAGGGGAGGGGTTAGAGCAGAGCAGGGGCGGGGCTTGGAGTGGAGAACGGTTCTGATTGGCCCAGAGGGGTACGCTGTGTTTCCCTCCCTGATTTTCATGCTGTTGCGATGTGTTCATGTTTCAGATTTAAGGCTCACCTAAAAATCTCCGCTGCCCTCAACTTCAACTTTCACTTTTGTTTATCACTCGGAAAAGGGTTTGTATTTTTTGTATTTTTGTTTTTCACACACAGCAGGGAGTCGAGATTAAGGAGAGGCACAAGTTAAAAGGTCCAACTGTGAAAGAAAAAGCAAAGAAAAACATAGACAAACCTATCTGAGAAGTAAATAAATACAAGAACTGAAATGTCCTTGGCTAAATCGAAAAATATTCTGTTTAAAGTGCAGTAAGCGAGTGCTGGAATGCCCGTGTAAACTTGACTAAAAGGAAATTTAAAGATTTATATAACACAAAATGACTCTTTTGAGTGCTAATCCATGTTATAATGTTGTTACCTCCTCAAAAACAGACTTGGAGTTGTGTTTTGTTTCATTCACGTATGTTTTAGTAACTCTTTATTATTAGTCTGTCTGTATCTCCAACGCTTAAAAAGTTCCACCTTGTGATGTCATGAAGTGGTTGTTTTCAAGTTTAATTTTAGTTCAACAGAGATTGGCGATTCCAGAGCTGAAATTATAAAAAATTCACATTCAAAGTTCAAAAAAGTTTATCGTCAATTCTTAATATGAAACATAACAGAATCGAATTTGTGTTTCTCACTCCCAAGCGAATAAATAAATAATAATTAGAGGTGTAACGATATCCAAGTCTCACGATACGATATCGTCATGGTCTGAACCTCATGGTATGATATTTATTGCGATATCGAGGGAAAGCTCATGATATGGTGTGGAGGCTCACGATTAGAAATGTAACAATATCCAAATCTCTCTGTACGATATTTTCACAATATATATCTCACGGTACGATATTTATTGAGATATTTTGTGTTACTATGCTACTTTTCCTCTTAAAATACCTTGACAAGATTTAATCCAAAGAATTAAGACTTAAAAGTGTTTAGAACTGTTATTTCTTCACGTAGTCTGCACTGAAATGGAGCAAAGGATCATGGTCTATGTAGTTCCCTCTGTATTTTTTTAACTACTGCTGCACCATAACTCTTAATTTAACCAAAGAGACTTGTATCTTGATATATTCTGATGGTCCTTGATATTATTGTGAGAACTTTAACGATACAATATCACGATATTTCGGTTATTGTTACATCCCTAATAATAATAGTATGTGGAAATCCAAATCCAAATGATTCTAGTGGAGGAGTGTGGCATTTAAAAGTGTTTTCAGTTTGTGTGAATGAAAGAAAACAAAACTCCAGGTCTGTTTTTGATGAGGAAACTACCTTAGAACATAAATTAGAAACTGGTATGATATGGGTCCTTTAAAGAAATAACATAATAAAAAAAATAGAACTGTGCAATTAAATGAATGATTTTTCCTCCTCAACTTTCTTCTCATTTATAAATAACAGACAAGATTTCTAGAGGAGGGTCTGTCATCTGCTTGTTTCCATGGAGATCTTATTGTTTTGCCTGAAATACTCCATAGTATGGCATTCAACGTATCTATAGTAGCAGTTCCCTTAGCACAGGGGTGTCCAAACCTTTTTCATCAAGGGTCACATATCTAAACACAGATGAAGCAGAGGACTGATCGAGGGCCGTAGACTGGTGCTCAATACAGTGAGTAATTGAAACATGTGCATGTTTAACACGTTAGAATGATCCATCAGTCTTTATTCATGCTAAGATCCTTAAAACCACACACTAATATTTAATATTTAGCTTTATCAAAGTAGATTTTCAAAAAAAAAACTTGCAGTAAAAAGTTCATTTTTAATTGTTGCAAGGTCATTTGGGCCAAGTCACCTGGATGCCAGAGGGCCAAGAAAAATTTGTCTGGGGGCCGCATTTGGCTCAGGGGCCATAATTTGGACATGCCTGCCTTAAGTGTTTCTGAAAGTTTTTTTTTTTTTTTTTCTTGGGACCCATATTTTAAAAGTCACAAACCTTCACAACCCAAGTCAACAGACATTAGGGATGGGCATGATTAGTCGATTAATCGATAATTGATCATTAAGAATGTCATCGATTACGTTCATTTTAATCAACAAACCGAATGTAGGTTGCTGTGCGTAGCGTGACCAAACAGGTCCATACATGTCGGTCAGCCTACAACGTACGGAAGTGCAAATGCGAACGATGTGCAACGATGACTTGTACAAGAAATTCCATGTTTGACGTTCGGGACAAGTGTGAGTCCATGTGCACAGTGTATAAAGCAGCACATATGTTTCGGTGTCCAGTGGGAAAAAGCTTTGTCAGGTGAGAGTCGCACAATGTCGATGACGAGTCCCCACCTCCCTCCTCCCGTACGGTGTCCTGGTTTTGAGAAACGCAAATATGGTCACACTAACCTGTATTCCACTGAGTCATGTCTTTTAATCCGACAGAAATTGACCACATCAGCGACACAAGAGCTGTAGTTTTATCTTTGCCTAGTTTATGCAAATTAGTGATGTGGTTTTAAGTTTCGTTTCTGTGAGAGTTGCGCAAAACTTAATTAAACACATTATAATCTAAAACGGGCCGATGTGGCTCTAGAGTCATTACTGTTTATATGTCGTAAAGTTGAATTTATTTATCAGATTAGTAGTGCAGATAGTAATAATAATGATGATCATTTTAATATAAAAATGTTAATGATTAATCAATAATCGATCGTTAATTCTTCTGACGATCGATTAAGAAAATTTCATCGAATGCCCATCCCTAATAGACATTATTCGTAAATCACAAACTAAAGGTGGATTTGAGCATTATTGAACATTAATGAGAATATTTTATTGTTGACAGAGTGATCGTGTCTCTGAACAGTTAGTATTACTCAAGTTTTAAACAATGAAAAACAGTCACTGAAGCAGCAAGAAAAGGATCAATAACTGTAGCCCATTTCTTTTTCTTTTCAACATTCAATTGAACTAGAAATATTGGAACATAATCAATAAAATAATTACAAAAAGATTAGAAATGATACAAAACATGTTTTAACATTTGAACATTTCTAATGAGATAGGTGGGTCTGTCTGTGTTTTTGTAGGGTGTTTCAGTCCGGGTGGAAACCGCAACACAAATATCAGTGTCAGAACTGTATATTAACAGACCTACATGCAGATCATGACAAGGCGACCCAAAAACAAATCTCTTGCGACCCACCTGAGGGACGCGACCCAGTCTTTGGGAAACACTGCCTTAGATGAGTCAAATGTAGAAACTAAACATTTTTCACTTCATGTTTCACTTCAATTCATTAAATGTGTCTATCTCCATGGAAACAAGACGGTTATGTTACCACGCCAAACGACAACAGGGCAGATCTGGGGAGAGGCGAGCCCACTCACAGTAAAAATGCATATTTGGTGAGGTTATTTTTGAGCAATAAAAACAACTGTAATGAAGTTAATCCAAATAAAGGCAGTTAAAGAACATTCTTGAACCATGCAGAAAAGTTACACAGTGCAGCTTTAACTTTTGATAATCTCACTGACTACCTCAATAAAGACTAATGTGCATCATCTTATTAAAATTGTATCCAGATTACTGCAAATACTGTGACTAATGTGTTGTGATTTCATTTTTCTAAGAGATTTTTGTCAAAGTTCAACAAAATAATTACAAAGCAAATCATCCTTATATAGTTTCCATCGAATAAAAACTACAAAACTACTTTTTAAAACTATCAGTGGATAAAACAACAGAACAAATCACACATATGTGAGTGAAATTGAAAGTAAAAACACATATTTTCTTTGCATGTCATTAATCGACGAGAACATGTTTTGTGGGGACTAGTATTACCAGTTCTGCCTCGGCTGTTGCATCACTTTTACAGAACAATCCATTATTCCTCTTTTTCTAGTTTCTATTTTTAGTCCTATAATATTTTCACATGCAAAAGATCAGATCCACACTCAACCAAGGGAAGCTTTGAGGTCCGTGTTTCTGAAACGAGCGAAGGTCTGGTTTGTACTTTCTGCAGCGGATGCCGATAAGCTGATATTTTTGGTCCGATATGTGACTCAAATTTTGATTTCTTATCCAAATTTTTGCCTCAAACAAACTCCCCCACAGCCCTTTTTTCATCACAAACCCATAAGAGGGCTGTGTAGTCATGTTTTCAGCAGTTACGTCTTTGCAATTAAGTGTTCAGTTAAAGATGGATGTGTATTTTGAGGCAGCAGGACACACCAAAACAAAATATCGGCCTGTCCTGGAGATTTTTTTTTTAAATTTGATTTGATTTGTTTTATTTTGAGTTTGTGCCAAGAGAGAAACAATAATCATGCACATACTACATATAAACAGTGGCAGAGTTAGCAACTTGAGGGCCCTAGGTGAAGTTGAGTTTGGGGTCCTCACTATAAAGCACTTTTTTTTTTTTTTTTTTTTTTTTTTTTTTTAGTTTTTCCCCATCTTGAGTCATGCACATCTCTATTTGTTTGAATTATGGTGGATTGGAAACTTCGGTCATCTACTAGATAACCAGAGCTGAAAGTAGTTTTATTTTTTTTTACATTACATATGATTATGATTATTTTTCTTATGATTATTGTTGACAAGTATATTACTCTCATTTAATGTCACATTGAGAGAAAATCTAATTGCTCTGAGGCCTGAGCCATTAGTGGTACTGAAGGAAATTGGCCCCTCCAGGTTTGGGGGCCCCAGGCAGCCGCCTACTATTTCCTAAAAGTGGAGTGTTAAAACTGACTTTCACAGAATCAATTTGAACATTTTCTCAGGGATTATATGAGTCCAGTCTGTTCTAGAGTTAATTTAACATTTTTGGAAATGTTAATTAAGTAACATTGGACCAAAGTTCCT